ATATATGATGTCATTGAAAAATCCTCAGTCCCTACAGACCCTGATACCGCTAGAAGATTCGTTGCATTCTGCAACTACTACAGACGATTCCTTAAAAACTTCGTTGACTATTCACGGCACAAAACAAGATTATGTAAAAAGAATGTTCCTTTCAAATGGGCAATTGAATGCCAAAATGCATTCGATTACTTAAAACAAGCTCTAATGCAACCTACTTTACTAAAATACTCAGATTTTAGCAAAGAATTTTGCATCATAACCGATGCTAGTAAATTAGCCTGCGGAGCAGTTTTAACCGAAACATATGGAGATAAACAATTGCCCGTAGCATATGCTTCTCGTTCATTTACAAAAGGAGAAAGCAATAAAAATACAACCGAACAAGAGTTGGCAGCAATACACTGGGCAAAAACACATTTTCGACCATATATATATATATATGGTCAACATTTCAAAATCAAAACAGATCATAGACCATTGACATATTTGTTTTCAATGGTGAATCCAAAATTAACAAGAATGAGATTAGACTTAGAAGAGTATGACTTTACTGTAGAATATCTCAAGGGCAAAGACAATTTCGTTGCTGATGCATTATCACGCATCACAATAAGTTCAAGTAAACAGAATAAATCCTGCGCAGGACCAAAATCCGAATTGCAAAAGCAACCAGACACTTCGATGCCCAATATATATAACGTCATTCGAAATGATGATGTTATGAAAGTAGTGACCTTGCATTTAAATTTGGACAAATGTTTCTTAAAACATGGGAAAAAGATTATTGCAAGAATTGATTGCAAAAATAAAACGCTATTGCTATTGGAAAAATATGAAAAATATACGTGATATCACGAATTATGTGAAAAAGTGCCCAAAATGCCAAAAATCAAAAGTGTCAATTATGGCCTTTGATAGAGTAGTAATAGACACGATCGGTCCACTACCAAAATCAGAGCAAGGTAATGAATACGCAGTCACACTGATATGCGATTTAACAAAATACCTTGTTGCCATTCCAATACCAAACAAAAGTGCAAAAACTGTCGGAAAAGCTATTTTCGAAGATTTTATTCTGAAATATGGTCCAATGAAGACGTTCATTACGGACATGGGAACAGAATACAAAAACTCAGCTATAGAAGATTTATGTAAATACCTTGGTATCAAAAACATAACTTTAACAGCACACCACCACCAGAATTTGGGAACAGTATAGTGAAGCCATAGAACATTCAACGAATTCAATCGTTCCTACATATCAGTTGATAAAACTGATTGGGATACTATTATTACTATTTATTGTTTCAATACAACACCTTCCACAACACACAACTACTGCCCATATGAACTAATTTTTAGCAAAAACCGAAACATTAAAATTTAATAGTGTTAAAAAACACATTTAACCTTTATATAATGCAGATGATTATGCTAAAGAATCAAAATGTAGATTGGAAATAGCATATAAAAGAGCTAGAATAAGAATAATGCTTGAACAAAACAAGCAGAAGAATAAACTTATATACGATAGTAAAGTAAAGAATATAGAATTAAACATAGGAGATAACGTACTGTTAAGAAATGAAACAGGGCATAAGTTAGATCCAGTATATATAGGACCATTTAAGGTCATAGAAATAGAACCTAACGATAACATAGTTAAAAGGATTATAAGAACAAAAAAACAAACAGTACATAAGGAGTTGAAATTGTTTAATGAGTAAAAAAAAAAAAAAAAAAAATGAATGGTTGGCCACCATATTAAAAACAAAATAAATCTATTTTTCTTTTAATATTCATATATAATATTCATTATATATTAAAATATTAAAAACAAACTATTCAATTATTGTAACTTCAATTTTGTTTTTTTTTTTTTAAATTCATTATATTCATTAATTACTTATTTAGAATTAAATTTAAAAAATTTTCCCTCAAATAACTATAATTTTAAATAATTATATTTAGAATATTACGTTATTTTTTTAAAAAAAAGGGAGGTGTAGCATGAGCAACATATATATAATACATACCCAACCAATGTAAGGGTATATCAGTTCAAATAAACAATAACCCATTTAGCGACACTTTGTTGCTAAACATAACGCAACCCAAAGTGCATTCGAAATATGATCGTCCACTCATAAGTGGCGTGACCATAGCGCAGAATATGCAACGCCTGCATATTCTGCCTATTACCATTCCTTTGTCTTGCGATATATACATATATATGCTCAATGTATATGCTTTAGGTGTATGCATATATACATGCTCCCGCTCTGCCGCTGTACTTAGCGACTGAGACTTATATACAGAAACCCTAATGTTAGACTTAAGAACAAACATATAATTGAACGACACATCAGTCGAAAATATCATCGTCTTAGGACGTTTGCTAATAAACTATCAATTAAAGGAAAAATGTTTTAATATTTTACAACTAGGCGCCAGGTCATTGAAGCTATGACACGGGAGGATAGCATAGACCCAGGCGTATTCGCCGGTCGCTGGGATCAAAATGAAAGGGTTGTTAGACACAGGAGTCTCTGCCAGTCTGCTTGCAAAACAAATTCGAGAGTTGGTCGAAGAACTAGGGTCACAGCCGCTGGAGGAGAGGATAAATCGATTATAGGTAGGGTAGAACTCCCAATCTCGAACGGGGACCAGCATTAAAAATAACGTTTTTTATCTGCCCCTACATGAAACAGAGAGCAAATTTTGGGATTGATTTCTGGCGAGCATTTAACCTAGCCGCTGACATTTTGGGACCCATTAAGCTTATCTCCCCGGAAAATCAAGGGGATGAGCTCTTGGCCGGGTCGATGACGCACTTTGCGGAAGAAGAGGAAGAACACGAAAGTGAGCCGTATTCATGGGAGTTATCTAGGGAAGAAAGGATACTGTTGGAGACGGTAAAACAGGAGCTTTTGCCTTTGAACATAGCGGACTAGGAACGACAGACTTAGAGAAGCACACTTTCGATTTAGTGGAAGGTCCCCAACCATTCAAAGATAGACCCTACCCGTTATCGCCAGCGATGCAGAAAGTAGTGGATGATAAAGAGGACAAAATATTGAGCTTGGGGGTTATAGAAGAGTGCAACAGCCCATGGAGTAACCGCTCAACAGTAGTGCGAAGATCGGGTAAAAACCGTTTCTGCCTCGACGCACGCAAGCTCAACAATTTGACGGTGAAAGACGCATAACCACTACCCTGTATAGAAGGCATCCTAGCTAGAATATTCCAGACCTACTACATCTCCAGTGTAGATCTGAAATTCGCGTATTGGCAAGTCGAACTAGACGAAAAAAGCAAGCTATGTACCTCAGTTACCGTGCCAGGTAGGCCAATATACCAGTTTCGAGTCATGCCATTTGGTTTATGCAATGCAGCCCAACGCCTAGTTTGTCTGATGGACAATGTGATTCCCACCGAGCTATGGTCCAATGTCTTTGTGTATTTGGACGACCTACTAGTTATTTCCCCAGATTTTCAAGCGCACTTAAGATATCTGCGACGAGTGGGCAAATGCTTAAGGGAAGCGAACCTCTCAACCGGACTGCATAAATCCAAATTTTGCTTCAAGGCATTAAATATCTAGGATTCATTATTGGTGGTGGCACGCTTCGCATGGACCCCGAACGGATTATAGCTATAAAACGAATCCCCGTGCATCGGTCGCGCAAAGAAGTTTGCTCATAGCCTTCTTTTCAGCCAAGTTGAAGAAACACCATCGGAACTATTCCGTCACTGAAAAGGAGTGCTTAGCGTCGATACTGGCCATAAACAAGTTCAGACCGTATATAGAGGGGATGCCTTTTACTTGCATCACTGATCACGCCAGCTTACAATGGCTGATGTCCACGCGCACTGCAATCTTCGCGCCACAGAGCAATGCAAGCGAGCGAGTTAATCGTACAGTGTGTTTGGCAATCAGGGCGTATCTGGAGCAGGATCACCGCGAGTAGGACCTCTACCTTCCAGAAGTAGAAGTGTCTATACGCAATACCATACACACGGCGACCGGGGGGGTGACGGCATTCTTTGCCGTTTTCGGACATCACATGTTCCTAAACGGAGTAGTTACAAATTGGATCGTAGGTTTGGGTCTCTTGGTGATAATGAGATTTCTCATTTGCACCCAGCAGACAAAATACACCTTATTAGACAGCGAGACCATAGCCAGCTACACCAGGCTTACGAAAGAAGTCATCGGCAGTATTACGCTCGAGTCCGAGTATTCCAGGCGGAACCAGGCCAAAAAGTTTACAGACGCAACTTCGTACTGAGTGATTTCGGGAAGGCTTTTAACGCCAAGTTTGCTAGGAAGATTCTAAAGGCCAGAGTAGTACGTCGAGTATTAAACAACTCGTACTTGCTGGAAGACTGCCCCTAGGAGTGTTTCATGCCAAGGAAATCCGTGTATAGACCAAGGTCGTGGTGTGCCTCACGTTGGGCGCGGCTCAGCTTAAGAAAATGGGTGGGCCGGCCAGGCTGGGCGCAGACAGAGGCAGGAGATCCGACTTCGAACCCATTGCTCCCATCAGCGACTTTGCGTCGTTGGGAATCCTGGGGTGATGTTGCGTGGGGAGTCGCTAGTATTTATTGATATATATCACCACCGATATCGGTGCGGGCCCAAAGCACCTTAGAGCGCAAAATTCGCAGGGCTCAGCATCCACTGCCTTGATCGAAAAAAAAAGGGAGAGCATAGGCGGTTGCCCGCCCGATTCGCTCGTATGGTAATGAGCGGATAGCATGCCCTTGACCTTCATCTGGGCCGTTGACCTATATCTGCAGCTGTGCATATGGGCAGCAACGGCAACCACAGTTAAATGTATGCGTGTGCTGAATTTCGGCACCTATGATATTGCTGCCCAAATGTACAGCCGGGGAGCCGATTTTGAGAAGCGGTACCATACAGTCGGGTTGCGCACAAGCGAATCGCTTTATAATTCCGGCCCCGCGAAACAGAACTTGGTACCATAAATATTATATTTGTCGAGACCTGCTATTAGACGTCTGGAAAAACAATACAATAAATGTGCCCGCCAAGGAGCCACGCAGAGGACGCCGGGCTGTTTCTTCCGGCTCACAAAGACGTCAACTGTGGACCGCCAATCTTATCGACGCGAGAGGGATCCGAGCCAGAGTGAACGACGACGACTCCCAGCGTCGCGGACAACGAGAGTCGACCAGGAGACGAAGCGCCCACAGGCGAGACCACGCCCACATCATACGAGTGAGTCCGTTCTATAACGCCCAGTCTCGCCCCGAGCAACAGGCGGAGGCAGAAGCAGAGCAAATTTGAGAACCCTGAAAAGGAAAGATTTTGAAATTATTAAATTTGGTTTTGTTTGTTGGCCTTAGGTAACAATACATATACATATATATATGCCACCTATATCTATTACCTTTTAAGGACACTTCATTGATCTCCGACAGTGAAGGAAAGGCCCGAAAAGTTATTGCGTCTGCCATCTAAGAAAAGAAAGGAACGAAGTAATTTCGATTACACACGATCCATACACATATATATGTATATATATCAAAAAAATAATTTATTTCCATTGCCCTTAGCGCCTCAGAGAGCTCTTTAGGTAGGCTCTGTGGATTTAAGAGACTTAATTCCAACTAATTTCTTATTTTTTTATATAAGCATCTTTCCAACATAGAATTTTTTTCAGCGTGGTAACACATATATATATATATATACGTGCATGACGTGTGGAGGCCAATCGCTCAACTTTATATTTATAACATTTGTTCTCTCACGTTGTTTCCAACGGCGGTTGGCGGTGACGTCCTTTCTTTGTGTTGTTCGGCTATAAATTAAATTATAGAAAATCATCTTAATTGTCAATAACCATTAGATAATGATAATAATTATTCGTACCTGTTGAAGAGATAGAGATGTCCATTAGCATGACATTATATAAAGAAGGTTGGAGATGTTCTGTAAATAGATAATAAAATAACCTATAAGCTTAATTGTCAATAATTATAAGATGATGCATAGAATTATACGCACTTGTTGAAGTGAAAGAAATGTCAACTTGCACGGAATCATACATAGCAGAGTGAAGATGTGAGATATTGATTGTTGATAACTATAAGAAATGCAACCAATTATACGCACATACTGAAAGAAAACAATGTCCGGCTAATTATCCACTGATGGGGAAAGGGGCCATGTCTGCCGACACGGGCTGATGCAAGCAAACAAGTGGCCAACATGCGGTAGTCGAGATCAAGTAGTCGTCGCAGGTAAGGCGGGTAAGCCTGAGTCCGGACTGGGACCCGAGCTGGAAGAGTCAAGTGGGTTAATAATGCTTTTTGTTATTTTATATTAGAATCTCACCTTTGTAGTTTTCATTTATTCCTAGTTTCAGCTGTTTATTGTGTTCATATATTAGTAGTTCCAGCTGTTTGATGTAGTTCAATTTTGTAGTTCGTTTGCTATAGAGTTGTGTAGGTCCGTTTGCTACAGATGTTAAAAGGTAGGTAAAAATCGATCATGGTATAAATCAGTTGATAAATTATGAAATTGGAAGTCGTGCCGCAGCGTCGCCGGTTACTTGTGTGGAATATACAGAAAATGGAGCAAAATGAAGTAAGTGCAACTAAAGAAGCAGAGTACGAAAGTATAAAATACAAGACAAGCAGACAGAAGTAAAGTTCGAATGGAAACGAGATGGCAGAATCGGACCTGAAACGTCGTGTGTAAGTGAAAACGAGATGACAAATAGTAAGAAAAAAACAGCTAGGGAAACAATGTTGATGCAAAAATTGAACAAATGCTACAGCTGTTAAACCTTAAAGTGATTGCTGATGAACAACGTGACAGCCAAATGAAAATCGCTCCGGTTAATTTTGGAAAAGAAGTAAGCGATTGCGATGGCAAGTGTGTACCACTAGATATATGGTCCGAGATTTTCAAAAAAAAATAACGACACTAATGACCTCACAGAAAAACAAAAATAAATGCATGTTAGATGAAAGATGACCGCTGCAGCAAAACTTTTTCTTTTCACGAAAAGCGTGTGTACTTATGATGAAATAAAAGGCGCATTATTCGAAGAATTTACATGTACAGTCTGTCAAGAATGAGTTAACGTAAACATTAAAAATGCAACATTTCAAATTAATAACAATCAAAATTAACAATTTATTTCAGTATATATATATTTGTTTTTTATGCATTATGTTAACTTATCCTACTTACTTAAATATGTAAGAAAAAAGGTGCAATTTAATTGCAAATTCAAAGAAAAAAAATAAAAAAATAAGTAACTACATTTTTTAGGTGTCAAGAAACTCGTTACACAAATATAATAAGTGACTTTACACTTAATATATACTTAAATGGTAATTAAAATTAAAGTTAAATATTTCGGATGTCCACCCTTAGCATTTATTACACATTGTAGTCGGGTTTTCATTAGGTGTATTAATTTTTTAAAGTCATAATAACACACACACACAGACACAAATGTGTGTGATTGGGCTGATCTTGATATAAAATATCATTATTGGCAGGCGTTTAACGCGCGCCCTTCTTTTTATGATTTAGGGTTTGAATTGATGAATGAATGTTGACCCCTTTTTACCTGCAGCAGCCCGTTGGGCCGAAAAGGTAAACTTTTGGCAAGCAGCTGCACTTGCATATGTACATAGGTCAAGTGACTGATCACTTAAATAATTTTATGACCAACGGATATTTGTGCAAAAATTAAAATCTTCAATTATATATTTAATGTATTAATGATTTTATTGACTTATCATATTCAAGTTATTTAATTCAAACCCTTAAATATAAAAAGAAGGGCTAAGTCAGCCCAGTCGCTCAACTTAATATTTATAACATTTGGCGGTGACATCCATTCTTTCCACACTCAAACATATATATGTTTGTAGATCGTGGTGTTTGTGAGAAGCTATGCAGGGAAGAAGAGATGCACGAAAGCGCGCAAAGCAATGAGTGAGAACGAGGAAAACTCTGCACATGCATACACATATATGTTTCTAGGCTGTAAACATTTAAAGCTAACCTACATATGTATATAAAGAAAAAGTATCAGCCGCAGCGGCGTTGTGCGCTGAGCGAGATGCGGCTTCATTCTGAACGTTCGGCTTTCGAGGCCGGCATTTGGAGGCCGGCATCTCTATGGCCATAACAAAATGGTCGTGGGCACCTACGGGGTTCACTCGTTGCGATTTATCGTGTTTCGATTATTCTGCTGCTGACATATCTATGTATGCGTTGTATGTTTAGTGTCAGTAGTCGGTTTTGGTCTGCAGCAGCGTCTCGTTGAAATCAATTCGACGATTATTAGAAACACTTTTTCTCTGTGTTATAAATATTATCAATTTAATATACAATACAGTATTATAAATCTTACGTAGTTATTTAGGTGGTTAATTTGCTTCCCATTGGTGCAAGAGAACCTACCACATTTATTCGTGTTGTTTCTGGTAGTAACCGGCCACAGCTGTTGTTTCAATGTTTGATTGCTAGAACAGATGAAGATGATTTCTGTAATAAAGGATTAATTAAATAAATTGTATTTAATTGTAATAATCATAAATAATGCCATTAGTTATATAAAATATGTTGCATTTGATATTATCGGCAGCGTCGATATCGTTTTTGTTGTGTTGCATTCGAAATTATCGGCAGCTTCGATATCTTCTTTGTTGTGTGCTCAGATTATCGAAAGTTAAATCGAGCGGATAAAAATAGCGTGAGGGTGGCAGCGACTGCCTGCGCTGTGCAAGAAAATGCGAGGGAGCGACAGCGATTGGCCACCCGATTCGCTCAGAGAGAGAGTAGGAGGAGAGCGAATCGAATGCTCTTCGTAATGCCCTTGGCCTCAGCTGGGTCATTGCTGCTGTACATATGGGCAGCAACGGTGACCACTTTTGAATATAAGCGTGTGCCAAAATTTGGCACCGATCACGTTGCTGTCCAGACGTACAGCATTCAAGAAGTTCGACTTTGTCAGCGGTCAACGGCGGGCGTGCTGTGTTCAAACTCACTTAGTCAAGTTTATGTTTAATTGATGAAAAGAAACATGACAAGTTAAGTTTGTTGATACAAGGCAGAGGAATGTCCACGTCGTTCGAATAAGTGCAGTCTTGGATTAAAGGGTGGAGCAATGCAATTAAATTATTAGCACCACAGGGTGGGTGGGAGCGCCATAGCATCAAAAGCAAAGCCACCGATTGACGTCCGATTCAATGTATGTCAATTAAGTTACCTTTGGTTTGCATTGTTTTGTCGCTAGTCTTTGTGTACTCTTTGGAGCTGATTAGTGATGTGCAGACTTCGTGACGGCAGGCACGGGTATACCCACCCCTAAAGAGAGTACTGGCTGCCCAGGGCTATCCCTCGAAAAACAAACCGCCTGTAAATTCCTCAGTAATAAAATATCCATTACTCTACAGAATCAGATTTGTTTAAAAAAAATAGGAAGTTATTAACATCAGATACGCAATTCAATGGGCACGATTAAATATAATAAATTCCTAACGATTCAACAAAAAAGAGTTGATAAAAGTTAGTAAATTAGTTGAGAGTAATTAATAAAGAAATGTTAAAACTTTCCTACGCCTTTGTACTTTGTACACAATTTGAATAAATCTGACTACCAAAATACCACTATCCGTGTAGAAACCAACGAAATCTTATTCCAAACGATGAAATATTTGGTGTGCCAGAAATTTGTTCACCAATTGTTAAAATTAAGGTATGTAATCATAATAATTGTATTACTAAGCTAGTTAGAAGCAAAGGGACAGTTCGTAGTGTCAGCAATGCTGAGAATATACGGCATCATCGGGCACGACTTTATTGGCTATCGACACTGTAATTAATAACAACAATAAAATCAGCAATTTCGAAAAAACAATTATGAAGCCAGGGGCGCCCATCATCCGGTTGACACCGGTTGAGGCTGACTGTCTTTAAATACTATTCCTGGAAGCTTTGGAAATGTTACATATCAATAATACGATTTCTCAAAAAACTGTCGATAATAAGAAAATGAACGATCACAACAAAGGCTCCACAACTGCTATTTAACAACCTGTCGTACTTTTGACAGCTGCTTCAGGATAGTTAGAAAATTCTGACTATGCGGCTGCGACACTTCCGTCAAGAACCAACTACAGAATAAGAATTTCAAGTAAAAAAAAAAAACAAATCAAGCGTAGCGCTACCGCTCAGCCATAGTCTACGCCGACGGTGCCGAAGTAAACATTTCAGTAAGATAGGGCCAAATTTACAATTGGTCTCTAGTCTCATATTTGTAATCCAATTTATAAGATCAGATCTTCCGATTGGTAAGTAAATCAATTTGTTTTCTAAGCCGAAAAATATTGGTATTCAATTTATATATTCGTTGCTCGGCGTAATTTGATATATTCTTTATTTTTTTGTTGGCATAATGTTATTATGTTTTATATTACTCGGGCCTTTATTTATATATTGTTGTTAAAGTTTCGTTTCGGTGCAATTTACTTTTATATATGCCCTAGCAATATTTTTATTGATTTCAGCCCTCAAAGCTTTGAGTTTATTGCTGTTTTATATATATTTTCGCGGCGCTGGCGGAAATTAAATCAAAATACTCTTCGCGCGGCTTGCCGGTACCCACATGCTCAACTACACATTTCGGCCGACGGCCGTCTCGAAGGGCAACGGTATCCCAAAGGGCACCCGTTTCACTCCCCTCGTGATCTCTCGGCGCTGTAGATCGTGAACTTGACGTTGCCAATTTCTCGCTATTTGTGCGCTCCTGTCCCAAATGGAACACAAAAATAGATATTTATGGCGATTTTATAAAGTACAAATTTTTGTATATCTTTATTTATTACCAATTGCAATATACATGTGTATATAAATTTGGAATTCGATAAAAAAAATAATTTAATTTTTTTAATTCGGTATTTCTTTTCTTTTAATCTTATTTGTTGTTCGAGTATTTAAGTTTTTATGAGATACTATTGTAGTTTGTCCCGCTGTGAAATTCCTCGACAATAGTTTTATGGAAAATACAGGCTAACAACGGCTAATTAAGGTATAAAATGAGATTAACAGATTTTCCCGGTTAATAAAAGCCAAGATAATCTGAACTTCGAGCGCTGAGCTCACATTGACTATAAGTGTATTTCATCTTCGTCATTCAGATATTTATTTAGTTTCGATTTGATTGTTAATAAAACTTCGGCGCTATGCTTACATACATAAATATGCTCAAAAGAGCTAGTTCTAGGAACAAATTCTTAGTTACGACTGTTAGAAGCTTGCGTAAGTTAGTAATATATTTTAATTTGCGCGTGTTTATTGGTCAGGACGTAAATCGTTTTTTCTATCAGTTATAAAATGCAGGGGCTTGGGTTACAAAGTCTTAAGAAAAACCCTGCGGTATGTGAAACCATTTAATCTCTGTTACGTAATCGTCACAAATGTTTGTTTTATATGTACATATTTGCATAAATGCTCACATAGTTGATCCCGCTTTACGTTTGCGTGGCTGCAGGAGCAGTTGGAGCGGTTTATTATATGACTCGCCTAGCTACAAGGAATCCGGACGTTACTTGGAATCGCTCATCCAATCCAGAGCCATGGCAAGAATATAAAGACAAACAATATAAGGTACACTAATCAAAAATCATAATATGTATGAATCATTTATAATTTTACGTTTTTTAAACGTAATGCATGCATAAAAACAAAACATTGATATGTACAAAAAAGATATATAAACGATTATTAACAAGTATATTATATAATGGATTATTTACTTGTTTATTTTCAGTTTTATTCACCCGTAAGAGATTATTCTAAAACAAAGAGTGCTGCTCCAAACTTTGACGAATAAGTTTTTCAAATGGAGATTGTATTAAATTGATTGTCAAAATAAATGCATTAATATGCTGCCTATTGTATATGTATTATTGATTTTTACTTTATTGATGACCGTGTATTTATACGTACATACATATATGCCTTAACTTAACCATGGCTTTTAATTATGGGAAAAGAGAATAAAAGCCATGGTTAAGTTATATGTACATATGTATTTATGTATATATATATATATATATATATATATATATATATATATATACATATATGTAGGTAAACCAAACATATGCATATATGTATATAAATACCAAGATTTGAATGTTTTTGGTTTTTGTATTTCCAGCTCCACAAACAAAAGAAAATTTATTATTGGTACGCGACTGACTCGGGGTTGAGACGCCCAGCGGGGAGATTTAAATTTTCTATCGACGATAAAAAGTTAAATAAGTTATCTACAATTTGAAGCACGAAACTTGTCCCGGGCAAACTTGGGGAATACTTGCTTGTATATACAGTCACGGACAAAAGTATTGGCAATTGTCAGCTAAAAATTTGAAATTTGAGAATAACCAACTTATTATTTTATTGAAATATATTTTTTTTATGATCATTTAAATATCTAACTTACTTAAAAGTATTAGAAAAGGAACATTTTTGGTTGCCTTACAAATAAAAAACCAAAAAAATATGGTAATTTTCATAGGGACAAAAGTATTGGCAAAAACTTAAATGGTTGTGTTAAAATTTAAAAAAATAAAACATGAGATAAAAATTAATACTTAGGCATGCCGCCTTTTTGTTTTATAACGCTTTCCAGGCGATATGGCATCGAATGCACCAATTTTCGGGCAACATTTGGCTCAATTTTGTGCCACTCTTCCATTTGGGCTTCTTTAAGCTCAGTCTTTGTTGAAAATGTATGGTTTCCAAGCCTTTTTTTCAAGTTCCTCCCATAGGTGGTCGATTGGATTGAGGTCTGGTGATTGAGGAGGATGTGGAAGAACATGAGCTGTATTGTATGCAAGCCACATTCGCACATCATGGGCCGTGTGCTTTGGATCATTGTCCTGTTGAAAAGTGAACTGACTGCTTAACATCAACTTTTCAGCGCTTTTTTTTAAATTTGCCTTCAATATTTCCAAGTAAACACGCTTGTCCATTGTTCCTTCGATGAAAACTAGTTCACCCACACCAGCTGCGGACATACAACCCCACACCATAACACCTCCACCACAGTGCTTTACTGTAGACATTAAGTTGCAACTATTGTATGCCGTATTGGGTTTTCTCCACACTTTAATGCGGCCATCTGAGCGAAAAATATTAAACTTACTTTCGTCGGAGAATAGGACATCGTTCCAGTAAGTTAATGGCTTCGATTTAAATTCTTTGGCGAATGCCAATCTCTTTGATTGGTTAACACTCGAAATGAGTGGTTTGCGTCTTGCAATTCTCGCATTGTACCCAGCCTTGTGTAGTACCCGCCGTACCGTTTTGGAGTGAATTTCTTTTTCAGTCTCTTCTTTAACATCTGATACTATTTGGGAGGATGTGATTTTTGGGTCTTTCTTGATCTTTCTTATTATTTGGGTGCAATCACGATCGGTTAACTTTCGTGGGCCGCAGTTGCGTTCAGCGTTTTCTACCGTAGGGTCGCCTGAAAATCTATGGACTATGCTCCGAATGGTAATAGGATTTACCTTGTTTGCGTAAATTTAAAATAATTTTTCGCTGCTTTACGGTGGTTTCACACTTCTTACCGGCCATTTTTACAAAATAATATATAAATTGATGCTTAAAAAATTTTTTCTAATTATATTTTTTAGATTCAAATATTTTGGCAAAGAAAAGTGTGACTATATAAAAATAATATTAAAATAACAACTTTATATTGAAAATTGCCAATACTTTTGTCCCTATATAATTACGGGTTCTTGGAATAAAATAATTATTAAAAATTAACCATGCCGCCAAAGTTTATAAAAATTATTGGATTGCATGCACAAATAGCTAATTATCGTATGAAAAATATAAAATTATTAAATATTAGACGGTATATTGGACAAAACCGACAATAAAACAAGATAATATTAAATTGCCAATAGTTTTGTCCGTGACTGTACATAAATAGTCTGACAGGAATGATAATAATATAATTATGGCAGAGAGATTGTCTTCGTAATTTGGCAAACTGGCAGCACAACTGTCTTCTTATATGGACTGACCGTAACGTATGATTTGCATGTTCAAAGGGAGAATATTTTCATAGTCCTCTAACGCATTACTCGTGCTCTTCTCATTATATGTTCTCTGTCTTATAGTATTGTAAGTGGACATTCAACTCTGAATACTGAATACTGAACGGAACGCTACACAACACACTTGGGTCTCTTTCAACTCCTGCCCCCGCCACAATATCGCCCTTATATTACTCAGCTTTTGTCTTACTTGTCAATGACTTCAATAAATACTTGTCTATATCAAATATTTCAACTAACACAAAAGGTCCCTTTAATTTGGGTTCCAACTTCGTTTATTATTTATTTTATTAATAGTTTACAAAACGAGTGTTGGATCCCAAGTTTTAATTATTTAATACATAAGAATATGAAAATTAAATGCCAAAAGCCTTAATACAAATATTTCTAATAACATCACCGACAGGATGGAGTTGTTTTATTTGCCCGCCTGGCCAGCTATGCCCCCTTTCACAGCCAATTTTGTCTCTGACGTTATTAGAGCTTCCAGCTAAGAAGGAAGGTGTTAGTGGAGTAAATAGTAATCTTAATTTACTATATTATTTAAGAAAATACATCAAATAGGAAAAAAGATGAAAAGAGGTATTAAAAAACTGAAAAAATTATACTAGCATATAATGTTGTGGGGGAAAATTTATAGCCTGTACGGCAAGCTTCGCCTCTACTCATACCTGGGAATAGTCACTGAGTTCTTGATCATATCTTGAAAGCAACGGATTTATTAGGGGGAGAGAAAGTTCCGTGGAGAAAACGTGATACAAACTATTGTAATTTGTGCATAACACGCGTGCATAGCGTAATCTGTTATGCACGTAGGTGCGAAAATTCCTGGTCTAACAGAAAAAAAGAATCTATGTAGCCAAGTATCAACTAATGTAGTAAGACAACACCGAGAGAGAAGAAGCCTGCGGGAGTAGAATGGCATCCGAAGATTGGGGTCAAAATTTAAACCTCGTGAGGCAGAAAGCAAAAATTGCTTATGAACTGACTCAATACGATCCTGGCTCTTATTATACCTCGGAGACCAGATGTACGAGCAGTTTTCAAGTATAGGGCGAACAAGAGAGAAGTGTAAAGAAGTTTGTTTATAAGGAATAATCCTTAGACCAACATTTCATGTATCCAAGTACACCTTTGGCTTTATTAACGATGGTAGGTATATGAAGATTGGGGTAGAGTTTAGAAACAAAAAGAACGCCAAGGTGCTTAACTGTTAGTATACGTTGCAATGGAGTATTGTCGATTGTAAAAAATAAACATACACTTTAAACAATTAAGATGCAATTGATTTACAGAACACCAAAGGTGCACAGCGTTCAAATTTCTTGTAGATGTGTGGGATCAGTGTATGAAAGAATAAGTTTCTCATCGTCCGCATACATAAGTGTATGTCACATGGGTATGTGATATAACAGGCGGGAGATCGTTTATATTATTTGTTCCTACCATTTATATACGAAGAAATCCAAAGCAAAGAGACGGAGAGAAACCCAAGCGGTCCAGTCTAACGCCTTACTCCAGTCAGTGTCAATAACATCAATTTGCATTTTAGAAAGGATAGCATCATTTGCCAAGGGAGTAAATTCAAGCATAGTCGTAGTAGACCGATTCTTTACGACCTCACGTTGAACAGGGGGGTCAACTGATTTGCAGAAATCTTGCAAGTTCGAAGTGATTATTATAGACTGAACCCATTAAAAATGGATAAGAAGCATATAATGTATTTATGCAAATGTATGCAACAGGCAGAAGAAAGCATCTCCGACCCTATTAAGTATATATACCTATTCTGTCGTCTGTCTGTCCGTATGTATGAAAGCAAGGATCCCAGAACTTATAAGAGCTAGAGACTTGAAATTTGGAACGTAAGTCCCTTTAGTGCCCGCGCATTCCGAGTTTGTTTCCGATAATGGACAGCAAAAGTTCAGAATGGTTATCGATTATAGGAAGCTCAATACAGTCACGATAGCATACTGGTATCCCATACCAGAAATTAATGAAGTTCTAGCTCAACTAGGTCATAATAAGATTTTCTCTGTCCTAGATCTGAAAAGTGGACTTTATCAAAATCTCTTGAAATCCTCCGATTTCGAAAAGATATTCCGTTAATAACGGAAAATATGAGTTTACACGACTCCCATTTGGTCTGAAGAATGCTCCAGCAATATTTCAACGTGCACTCGATGACATTCTAAGAAAACACATCGGAAAAATATGCTACATCTACGTAGATAACATTATCATATTCAGTAAAAATAATGAATCGCATATTAAAAACCTGGACATAATTTTCCGAACCTTACAGAAAGATAACATGAAATGTTAGTTGGATAAATATGAGTTTTTTAGAGACAGAGTAGAATTCCTTGGTTTTGTCATTTCCGACAAAGGTGTGGAAACAAATCCAAAAAAAATAAGCAATTGCAAACTATCCATTTCCCAATACCCTGATAGATCTGAGAGCCTTCCTAGGCCTAGCCGGTTACTATAGACGGTTTATTAGAGATTTCACTAAGATTGCAAAACCATTTAGGTACCTTCTTTTAGGGGGAAGATGGACGCGTATCCAAACGAGAATTTTCAAAAAGGCTCGTCAATTTCGACCAAAAAGCTACAGAAGCCTTCGATAAAATAAGGATTGCTTTAATATCCAGCGAAGTAGTATTACAATATCCAGACTTTTCTAAGGAATTCCACTTAACAACCGACGCTTCGAATTTTGCACTCGGCGCGGTACTCTTTCAAAACGAACGACCGATTTCTACCAATCCCAAGCATCGAAGTCCCAATCAGCGCTTTCAAAAATCAGATATTTCTGCACA